CTGTCTGTAGCTGCTTATAGAATGTGTGCTCATATGTTCTTGTGTTTCCTAGAATTTTCTAAGATTTATGTGCACTTTTGGAGATTAACTCTTTTTTTTCTTGGTGCTCCTACTTATTTTCTTCAGTTATACCTGCTATAACATTGGTGACCCCCATCATCTTATAAATGGTTATTTTGAAATCCCCAAGTTTTCTTTGAATCTATGCAGAAACACAAGAAGTATACTTTGTGGTCTTGTTTAGCACTGATGTTTAATGTTTTTTTTGGACAATGTTCACACTTCAAGATTTTACCAACAACAGCTGTAATTTTAGAATTTTATATTTTATTTTAAAGAAAAGATTTTTTTGTCATAGATTTTTCTTGTATTTAAGAATGAATTGCTGGGCTTGGTGGTAAATGCCTGTAATCCTAGAAACTCTGGAGGCTGAGGCAGGAGGATTGTAAGTTCAAGGCCCAAAGCAACTTAGTGAGACCCTGTCTCAAAATGAAAAATAAAAAGGGCTGGGGATGTGGCTCATTGGTTAAATATCCTGGGTTCAATTTCCAGTACCAAAAGAAAAAAAAAAAGAGATGGATTGTTGGCTTTTAAAAAGGAGACAAGAAGACTCACTTTTTTTTACCCTGTAACTATACTGTCTACTTCTAATGGTAATTTTTTTTTGTACTGGGGATTAAACTCAGGGGTGCTTTATCAATGAGCTACATCCCCAGGTGTTTTTATATTTTATTTTGAGACAGATTCTCCCTAAGTTGCTGAAGCTGGCCTTGAACTTATGATCCTCCTCTCTCAACCTCCCAATTCACTGGGATTGCAGGTGTGTGAGCACCTGACTAATGGTAATAATTTTTTAAAAAGATGAAAATGATATATTGAAGAGTTCTCTGATTCATGAAAGGGAGAAATAATTATTAAAAACTGGATAAAAACTGTTAATAAGAAAGAAGATATGTATGTCAAAAGTTATCTTTTCCATAACTTTATTAACATTAATAATTTACCTTAATTTTCTTACACAAGACACCATATTTGGATAGTATTATTCTTCCATTTATGCAGTGATTTTTCAAGCACTGGGGATTGAACCCAGAATCTGACACGGGTTAAACAACGGTTCTACTGCTGAACTCTATCCCCAGCCCTTTACTGAGACCAATCAGCCCTTTGAGACCAATCATTCAAAGTTTAAAGGAAGGAATTGAACTTTTAAAACACAAACATGGTGCATTCTTTAAATATTTAAAAATTGCTAAAACTTTCAGAGTTAAAATGAAAGAGCCACTACAGCTCTTTGTTGTCATGCTACATTGATAACTGAGAGAGTAAGAAAGCCCTGAATAGTCTCATTACTGGACACCTACTGGAAGAAAGTCGGTAGAGAAGTCATGATGGTGCTATTTTCCAGTGATATAGGAACTCATCTAAAACTTAGTTAATAAATCATCTACAAATACATAGAGATTGTCCGTCCTCTTTGAAAATGGACAAATGCATAGAGATGCCTGGACTTCTTCTTTTGCTTGTATCCATTTAGAATTTGTACTAATCATCAAAGAAGGTTATTTTATGTGACTGACAACAAACACAAGGGTTGTTCATTTCAAGTATGGAGTGTCTTTTTAAATCTGGTGCTTTATTCTGGAACAACTGTATTGATGTTTTTATTGATAGTGCAAAAGCAATGGTCAGTACAATCACTCACAACCTTTAAATAAATCAAGGCAGTGGCACCAAAGTTTATTTGTGGTCATTAGAGTGTCTGCAACTCCCTACCACCACTCATGACCACACAAGGCCTATTTCACTTAAAAATGTGCTCAATAAAGTAGTAAAAGTAATTGATGATATTCAGTTTTAACCTTAAGTGTTTAACATATAATCCTTTAAATATTCTGTATGATGAAATGAGAAATGTGCAAAAAATGCTTCTGCTGCATACTTAAGACTTTTATGATGCGATGGGTGGTGATATTAACAAATATGACGTTTGATGATATATGAAGAGGGTCAAAATTCATTCATTTTGAATGAATATTTTACCCCTGTATAGTTTTGCAACATGATCTTCTGGTTATGTGAAGGATATTGGGTTGCTTCTTCTGCCTGGCTGAAGTGAATGATGCTGCAGTGAACACTAGGTGTCTGCAGGGTACTTGGGCTCCAGATGTTGACACAACTCCATCCCCATGCCGAAAATGGTTTTTGATTGCAAATTCACTACCCGATTGAGTGGACAGGGAGGGAGAGGTGGTCACTTCTGGTCAGCCTCCCAGCTCTAGATCTCTCAGAAACAGCAGAGGGAAGCTGAAAATAGACCAAAAATCTCTTAGAGCAGAGAGTTCCCTGTCTGAAAAGAAGACTCAAACTTGCATTGAATGCTAACCATGTGTTGAGGAGGAAATGGGGGGAAGTTTCTTGAATTATAATCATGAAAATAGTGACAATGTTATTTTCTGCACCTTCTCAGGATAACGTGAATTTTAAGGAATCCCAGGGGCCGGGGATGTGGCTCAGTGGTAGACAGCTTGCCTTTTATGTACTAGGCCCTGGGTTCAATCCACAACACCATCAAAATAAATAAAGGAAAAAACCCAACTCTGCCATGTTAAGGCAAAAGCTCAGCAGGAGACCTTAGTAAGGAAGAGATTTGTATTATTTTAAAAGAGGGTTAATTTATGTAGATTATATTCACATTTCCACTATAATACAAACTTTCTAAATTCAAGCTTGAATTTAGATAAAAACAGTTTTTTTTTTTTTTTTCACTGTTGGGTTATAGGTTAGGATCACAAAGAAAAATGGGTCTGTGTGGCTGATGTGACAGAGACCAATCTCTCAAGGAGCATAAAAGTCCCCTTCCCCAGACTGTAACCTGGTGTTCTTTACTCCCTAGATTGCTGATTAAATAAATCATCCCTGCTGAAAGCTAGTCTTTAAGGAAATATTATTTCACTTGTGGACTGACTACAGAGTCTATTATTCCATGATTGTAGTTGGCATTCCTAATAAAACTAGTCATACACAGAAGGCAATGATTCACCTGGGCGTGGTGAATGATGCTGCAGTGAACACCAGGTGTCTGCAGGGTACTTGGGCTCCAGATGTTGATTCACACCTGCAATCCTAGAGGCTGAGGCAGGAGGATTTCGAGTTCAAAGCCAGCCCGGCAAAAGCAAGGTGCTAAGCAACTCAGTAAGACCCTGTCTCTAAATAAAATACAAAATAGGGATGGAGATGTGGCTCAGTGTTTGAGTGCCCCTGAGTTCAATACCCAGTACCAAAAAATGAAAAAAGGCAATGATTCAAAACCAATTTTGAAGTTTTCTTAGGAAATACACCTTCAAAGAGGAAAAGTATTGTATATTTGAACCATTAGACTGACTTGCATTGACTTCATTTAGCCCATCATTTCAACCTTAGAGAAAGGGAATATTACTGAAAACTCAACTTTCTTGTTACACTTTTCTGGAGCTATTTTCCTTGTCACATGATAAGTATGGTTATTTTATAATACAGCAAAGCAGAAAATCACTGGACTGAGAGCCAGAAATAGGTTAAATAGTTATTATTGTTGTTATTATTATTTAACCAGGGATTGAACCAGGGACACTTAACCACTGAGCCATGTCCCCAGCCCGTTTATTTTTGTTTTTTATTTTGAGACAGGGTCTTGCTTAACTGCTGAGGCTGGTTTTGAACTTGCAATCCTCCTCCCTCGGCCTCCCAAACCACTGTGATTACAGGCATGCCCCACCAGGTCTGGCCCAAAATAGGTTCTAATTCCGGCATGGCTATTTACTAACTGGGTGGTTTTGGACAAGTGCCCCCCCCCCTCTTAGCTTACCTTCTATAAAACCCAGCACTTGGACTAGTCCATTTCTTTCAGCTCTCACATTCTGTGAATTAATTACATCACTTGGTCATTGTGTCCATTCTACTTTTTATTTGGTATCTGTTCATTTGATACATATTTACATATATAAAATCTGTACATAGTAAAATACAAAATAAGTATTTCTTTATAAGTTATATGATTAAACAGCTACCTTTTTTTAAAGTTGGAAAAACCATTGCAAAAAAAAAAAGAGAGAGAGAGAGGGAGAGATATCTATCTAGTCCTTTATAGCATTCACAATAACCTTGGTATAAAATATCAATACAAAACATATGTACAAAATAGTGTACAGTTCATAGAAGCTGTGCAAAGACAGCAAAGTTCAGTTAAAAAAAAGAAAAAGGAAAAAAAAAAACAACAAAGAGGCTTATGGATATCACTGTCTGTTCACATCATACCCAGGAACTCTGCAGCTCAGTGACACCTCTCCAGAAATAATAAAAGGGCACAAGGCAGAGTGCTTGGTGCATATATTATGGATGTACAAATTTAAAAGAAAAAGCATTAAAACACACATAACAAAATACAGAATCTTCCCCCACTTTGGAGAATTCATTTCTTTCCCCCATAGAGCATTTGGAAATAAAAGACTCAATATTTTCATTTCCCTTAGTCAGAGGCACATTCTTTTTTGAAATTCTTGTGCTTTCTAAGAAAACTACTAAGGGAAGAGTGGTGGGAGTGGGGGGTCACGCCCCTTCAGGAGGATCGAGGCCCTTGCTACTTAGCACGGAGAAGTGAGGGGATCTTGGAATTAGTTATGCGCTTGGTGTTTGGACCCCTAACTCAGCTTCCTCTTTTATGAAAAGATTTTCCTACTGTAAAGGGCTGGGTAGCTAAAGAGCAGCAAGGCCGGGTTCACAATTCACTCCAATTCACTCCAGGCTGTGGGAGTGGAAACCTCACCTCCCTCCAGTATTGGATAAGCAAGATGGAATGAAGCCCTGTAGAAAAGTTAAGACTGGGATCTGAATTTCTGTGGGGAGGCTGTTTGGAGGTGGTGTAGAGGAAGGAAATGTCTCTTTGGGACAACAGAAGGAGCAGTAGCACCTGGATGAGGTGATGGTTCTGCAGCCCGGACCACAGCATTGCAGGCAGATAGGATCCCACCTCTTCAATTTCAAAGCACTTAGAAACGGTACAGGGATGGGGTCGAGAGGGGGCAATTCTAGGACACGGTGATTTCCTCTTCCCCCTCAACCTCCTCATCCTCCTCGGAGTCTGAGAAGTCCGAAGGTTTGCCAGGGCTAGTAGAGTGCGCTGGGGAAGCCGGCAGTGGCCCTTGGAGTCGCGGATCCCGCACGTGCCGGGGGTCGGGGGGCACGTGGTAGGCCAGGCGGTGACGGGGGCTGCCAGGGCGCTCTTCCTCCTCCTCGTCGTCCCCGTGGCCCTTCTGGCCCACGTCGCTAAGGTCCGGGTGCGGATTGAGTTTGGTGGGAAGGGTCTGTTCACGGCAGCCCCCGCTAGATAGGAGTTCTCGCTCCTTGGAGTTCCTCCATTTCATGCGTCGGTTTTGGAACCAGATTTTCACCTGGGGCACCGGGGCAAGCGAGAAGCTGGGTCAGTGGTGGTGGGGTGGGGGCGAGGGATGCGCGCGAGGGAGGTTGCCAGCAGGGCGCACAGGGAGGACCCGGGAGGGCTCTCTTTCTCCGCCTCGCCCTTTTCCCTTCCCACTCCCCGAAGTGATTTCCGACAGGTTACAGCATTTGCTCCACACCCACCCTGACAGCCCGTCTCTCTTGCCCCATCCTCTGGCACCTAGCCCAGATGGACGGGGGTGGGGGACTCTGGGCCTAGACAGATGGATCCAGGGTTGGGAGCGAGCGGTCCTGGGGAGCCTGGGGAAGCCAGCTCCTGCACTTATTGCTTCCCGGGCCTCATTTCTCCCAGTTGCACTTTTTCCTAAGCACTTTCAGAGATCCCTCCCAATTGATTGACACGGGGGGCGGGGAGGGGGGTGATCGCGAGCAAAGCGGCTGTGGAGAGACTGCCCTCACCTGCGAGTCCTTCAAGCCCAACTTGGCCGCCAGCTTCTTGCGGTCAGGCTTGCTAATGTACTTCTGCTTCTGGAACATCTTCTCAAGCGCCTTGCGCTGCACGTCGGAGAACACGGCTCGGCGCAGCATGCCCCTGCGAGGCTTTCCTCGAGCCGCCAGCGGCCAGGAAAAGGTCCCGGGGATTGGCACGACGCTAGAGGACGCTGCAGGGTGGAAAGGCGGCGAGTGAGTGGCGGGTGTCCCTCGGGGACTGGTTAGAGTCCGCCCCTCCTTCGCGGTTTTCCCTGTGTTGTTCTCTCTCAACCCTTCGTCTCTTTAAAGCACTCCTTTTTCTCCCCCTGGAGAATAGGCCAGGAACCTACAAACCTGCAAGAGTGAAAGGCTCTTTCCGCCCAAATAGCTTTCCCTTTCAACCGTGCAAACCCGGATTAAGAAAAACCACGAAAACAGACCTGTTGCTTTTTTCCATTCAAAGATCTCAGGGAAACAAACATGCGTAGACCCGTTAAAATAGCAACAGAAAGAATAAATTACAAAAATAAAATATCCAGCTGAGGCCACTCACTTTCTTCCCTAAGCTTGTATCATCTTGGTGGCTTTTTGCATTCTTTAGATGAAAATGAAGTACTTTGCTGGTGTAACAGAAAAGGGAAAATCCGCCTTGGATTTTTTGTTGTTGTTGTTGTTGAAAAATCCAATCAGTATTCATCTTTTTTATATTAATCTTTCCTCCCCTCCCCCACAAAATGTAAAGAATTCGGCCCGAATACATGAAAAGTGGCAGCTAATTAGCACATTGACCGCTTCCCAATGGGTATTGGCATGATAAAAAGAAGGAGAGTTTCGCTTTAAGGGAGAAAAAAAGAAAAACAAAAAGAAACAGAGACTCTAATGAAGCGTGAATGGTAATTGTGTAGTAATGAACTAACAGAAAAAGACTGTGGACAAGCAGCGAAAGCCATATATTACTGGGACAAAAGAGATTTACACTTTCAAACTAAACACAACTGCAGGCCAAGACCATTGGGAGAATACTGATGGCAGAGGCTTCTCTTCCCCGAATCGTTCTCATTAAATGGACATGAAAAGCTATTTATAAAGCTCGGGTTGTTTTTGTTAGAGCATTGAGATGAGTGAGAAAGGGAGCAAATTCCATTATCAGCAGGAGCATGAATGTTTGGAGGGGTGCGTTTGGTGAATTTTCCCTCTTTAAAAAAATCAATTGCTCGTTTCTTTTGCAGATATTTGGAAGTGCTGTCCTGGTTTTACCATCCCCCACCGTGCTCAGTCTTCTCCCTGGTCTCCTCTGAGTTTTGACCAGTTGCAGAGTATGAACCATAGTGGAAAGTGTTAAGTGTTTCCCTTTAGATGGGGGCCCAATTTGGACCTGGCTGCAACGGTTTCTTGCTTTACAAGCTCAGCGCCCTTTAAAAAGATATGGCGGTGGGGGTTGGGAGGATATGAGAGGGGTTGGGAAATCAGGTTGGAAATAGATGGTGGGGGTAGGAGGAGGATCTAGCCTCCCTCCCCTTGGGCGACCCCCGCCATCCCACACAAGAGGGCACCCCATGTGGTCTTGTGAAAAGCCCAAGTCCTGAATGAATCTTAAAGAGAAATTAGCCCCGGCTGGTAGGTGTCTCTCGACGGCGTGGAGGGGCTAGGGCCGGTCTGTGTGTGGCTGCCCGGAGGAGCTGACCAATTGGTCATGGTGCTGAAACCTTTGTGGAGAATCGTGGCCAAGTGCACTGACTCTGTGGGAAAACGGCGGCGTGAAGGGATGCCAACAGCTCCTCTCCGGGAAGGGAACCGCCTCAAATTGGGACCATGACAATTCTTGCTAATTTGTAGAGCAGGGAATTGGTGCAAAGTGTCAAGCAGTCACTGCTTGTGCTAAATAGGGCATCAAATTGGCGCAACGGATTCGTGAATGTTGTACGCCTCGCAACCTCTGAACCAGAGCGTAACCCCGAGGGGTGGACGGAGAAATATGGCTTCGGGGCAGGGAGCGACGGGCCAGGGCTGGGGCGACGCCCAGCCTTGCAGAAGGAAGGGAAAGAGACCAACCTGGGAAATAAGAAGATCTGATGAAAGGTTGGAAGGAGCCTTCAAAGTAGGGAAAGGCGAACGTCTTGGGAGGGAGGCTCTGGAGCAAGGTGGGGGATGTCTCTGGGAGAGAGAAGAGGAGAATTTGATTATGGTACAGCACATCGAATACGTGATATGATTAACACTTCGGTTAATTTCAAAAGGCATCTTTTAAAATGTATTGGTAGTAAAATAAATCTTTCTAACATTATTTCATCTGGGAGAAATCCTTCCTTTCCCGCTAAAATAATACTCTGCACCCCCCACCTCTCGCTCATTCTCAGTCCTAGACATTAAGAGGTAGGACTGGAGGAAGGAAGAAAGGAATTGCAGACCAAAATACTAGCTAGCTAATCCAATAAGCATATCATCTTGGGTTAAAAAAAAAAAAAAAAGTCTGTTTTCTAGAAGTTCGAGGACAGGAACGCAGACGCCAAGGGGCGTGCACTCTGAGGTGTAGCGCCAGATAACTGCGCGCTCTGCGACTGCAACTGCTCAAGTTTGTTCAGAGGGTGGGCCGAGTCCGAGGCTTTTCTTCCAGGAATTATCTGAACCTAACTTGCATATTGCCCGACGAGGGTGGATCGGGATACCTGCATACCGACGTGCATTGGTGAATGCGCGGTACTCGCTTCATAAAAGAAACTAAGGCCTGACGGACTCTGCGAATGCCTAGCACCTGGACAGGGCCCTCAGCGTTCCACCTTCACTTACCTGTTCTGGGCGCCGAGGAGAGGATGGCATTCACCCCAAACTTCAGAAACGTGGGCTCGCTGGCAGGGGAGAGGGTAGTCTGCGGAGAACTGCCCCTCCGGCTGCCGGGACCCGGGGAGCCCAGGTCCGAAGTCCCAGAGTCAGGAACCGCTGCTGGGGCCCCTTGCCTGGGCGGGGACATGCTAGCTGTGGGCACGCTGCGGGGCAGGTAGGCGGGGGGCCGGCTGATGCGGATCAGATCTTCCACTAGGAAGCTAGTGTGCCCGGAAAATGCCGACTGAAGGGACTGGGGCAGCGTCAGGGTGGGCGTGGGCCGCAGGAGGCTAGGATACCCCGCCGGGGGCGCGAGGAGCCCCGGGAACATCATGGTAGGTGTGGGGCGGGAGAAATAACCCTTCTTCCAGTGGCCGAGGGTAAAAGCCTCGCGTCCCGCCCCTCCCGTTCCCGAGGAGCCCTCTCTTGGGCTTAGCAAATGTCTTCCAGTAAGGATCCCACTTGGGCGTCTGCGAGTCCTCCGTAGTCCTCCCGTCGAGGTGATGGTTTTATAGTGGCTCGCTTGCTAACGCGCTTTGAAAAGTGACAGCTCTGACAATGAAGTTCAACAAAGTTCTCCACTCAAGCTTCATTCGTTGGAGGCTCTGGGCTCTCTGATTGGCGCAGAGGTGCAATTTATGATTGGATTAGTCTTCATAAGCATGGCCAGCACAATGGGCCGGCAACAAAGGCCCTAGCGCATCAATTCTGCATATCGACCGCCTCTTTGCAATACAGTGTGCAACCAAAGCTCTTGCCTGGGGTTTTTGTTCGGAAGCAACACCCGGGCTAATTAAATGCCTATTTAGAAGTTTCAGATGACATCTTGCCTCATAGAAAAGGAATTATTTAAAGAATGCACTAAATTTATTTGCAGCTCCCCTGCTGAGTCTGGAAAATAAATCAATAAATATTCATAGAAATGCATCTCCAGGCTATCAGTAAAATAACTCTCTCCCGTGTGTGTGTGTGTGTGTGTGTGTGTGTGTGTGTAATGGAAAAATTTAAGTCCGTGAACATGAAAATATACCACTCTCCCATATCAAGTCCTGTCGATCCAGCTAAACATAAAGCAGATGTGAGGGATGGGTTAAATCACTGCTAGAAGTTCCACTGTAACAACCCAGAGAGACTTGGAAATCGAGGCTTTTGGGGATATTAGATGTGTCCATAAATGTTGAGGAGTTCTTGATTTGGGTCATTTCATTCTGGGAGACTAGTTGAGTTTGAGAGTTGGTGGGCGCCTGAGTCCTAAAACAAGTCTGCTGCAAACTCCCAGCAACTTGGAAAATTATTTCAAACGAAGCTTCTCTGAAAGGAACCCCCAAGCTCACTTGGGAGGAGGAGGAGGAGGAGGAGGAGGAGGAGGAGGAGGAGGAGG